GTGCATTGCCTGTGTCGCCAGCAGCGATCGAACTGACATCCACGCTGGGCCCACTTGGGGTAATGACAGAACCAACGTGGGTGAAGTCATCGGTGTGACCGTGGACCGATTCCGTGACGTGGCTGATGGGAGACAATCGCACCGAAGCTGGTGGTGGTGGAAGCTTGATGGGAGGTGCCGGTGCTGCTGGAGCGGGTGCTGGATCGGGTGGCAAAGCTGCGTACAGACTTGGAAGAATCGCAGATGGATCGCGGAGGAATCGGAAGTAATCGTCGCGAAGGAGGAACTGATGAGGGATCCGACTGTAGGTGCCCGCTGGACAGCGGCCCATGGACCGAAGGTGTGCCAAGGCGGAGTTGATGGAGGGAAAACCAGAAGGCTGCGTAGATGGGCAGCCGACAGATGCAGCCCAGGCCTCGCCAGGCAGCTCCACAACGAATTGGACTCCGAGTCCAGTATTGTGATCCCATCCATTGACGGGAAAAGCCAGGGCTTCGGAGGAAGTTTGCCCGACCTCGTTGCGCAAACCGACAAGCCCACGGAGGAATGGGTGGGAAACTGAGACCATCTCGAAACGGGAACGACCGGTGGGCATAGGAACATGGGCCCCAACGGGGACCTCCAGGTTGAACAGTTCCCAGAGCTCGCCTTCGTGATGAATCAGACGACCTTGATAGGCCAAGAAGTCGAGGTACTTTGCTGCCTCGGAGGGAATCGAGGAGTTGGGAACTCGACTTCGATTGAGTATCCCATAACACACGTGACCAGGGACGACCGCTTTGGTGGGGCCGAAGGAATACGCTTCTCGAATCACTGTGAATGGAGAGGTTGGCGGCTGTGGCATGGAGCCTGCGGCCAAACTGGAGGGAACGTGATGTTTGTGCACCAGAACACAGTGTATCGTATCCGGAAGGATGCGTGCTTCAGGGAGAAGTTCGTCTGGGTATCGTTTCAAACCAGCTCCATGAACGACGGTGCAACCGCCAGTGAAGACAATGCGACCGCCGAGGCTTGGGATCAAGACATTCCCGTATGGAACGGGGTCCTCTTGCGGGATATCATGGGACTGGGGCTTGGGGATTCCAGTGGAGTCGTCGGACCCACTGGGACTGGGAGTACGCCGGGGATTCGTGGGCTGTGAGAAGCCGGAAACAGAACCACCAGGGCCAGGAACGGGACCACCAGGGCCGGAAACGGAACCACCAGGGCCACCAGGGCCGGAAACGGAACCACCAGGGCCGGGAACAGAACCACCAGGGCCAGGAACAGACACCAGGGCCAGAAACGGAAACACCAGGGCCACCAGGGCCAGAACCGGAACCACCAGGGCCGGGAACGGAACCTCCAGAGCCACCAGGGCCGGGAACGGTACCACCAGGGCCGGGAGCGGGGCCACCAGGGCCGGGAACGGAACCTCCAGGACCGCCTGGGCCGGAAGAGGAGCCACCAGCGGGACCACGGTAGCCCGGGACGCCACGAATGGGTGCTGGAGCTGGGATCCTGAAGACGAGACGACGGGAGACTGGAGTCAGTTGGTCAGGCTCGAGCTGGCGGACCAGCTCAAGCCGCCTGGCTTCAATGCTGTCAACCGGTTCGTGCGTTGGGATGGAACCAGTGCCGTTGGTGGCCTCCAGTTCCAGCTCAAGTGCTCGGATCTTGGCTGACATTGCGAGTCGTTGGGCTTCGATACGTTGGGCTTCGATACTGGCAGCAACGGTGGGAACCGAGCTGGTGTTGGTGCTGGGCGCTCGTGCAGTGGGAGGCTGCAGGCGCGCATCGTGGAAACCCGGCTCGCGTGCACTGGGGAACTGTAGGCGCGGGCCGTGGAAATTCTGCAACGGGGGTTGCACTGGTGCTGGGGGTGGTGCCTCGAGTGGCAACGGCTCGAGAGCTGGTACCTTGGTAGCTGCTGATGGTGGACTGCTGGACAAGAGAGCTTGTGCCAGGGCCTGGACATCTGCTGAGCTACCCCCCATGAGACTGGCCAGTCTGTTGGCTAGTGTGTTGGGAGTGTAGTCAGTGGGAGTTGTCAGTGGAGCTGGAGAGCTAGACTGGACTGTGTGGGGGCCTTCGAGAAGGGACCCTTGTATGGGCTGCCGTTGGAGCTGCTGGACACCCTGAATTGGAGTGCTGGTGTTGGCCAAGCTAGGGGCTGATGGGAGTGTAGCTGGCTGTTCAGCTTGCACAGAAGTGTGGAGCTCGAATGGGTTGAGCCTCTGCTGGAGTGGTGGAGCTTGGTAACTTCGGTGGAAGTCAGTGGCTTGGCTGGTGCCGAATGGCCATTGTGTGGCGGCAACATTGCTGTTGTTGCCATGGGAGATGAAGTCGTTGAGACTTGGAGGTGGCAGAGGCCTCGTGAAGAGGTCTGCTAGCTGTTGTGGGTTGGTGTCACGTGGGAACTGCCACGACCAAGCTGTGGTAGCGGCCGGCGACTGGAGACGGCCGTCAGCAACAGGAGCGCCATGGTCGTGCGCTAAATTTTGCTGTTGTTGTGGTTGTTGTTCGAAAACGTCGAACGGCTGCTGCTGTTGTAACGGCTGCTGCTGTCGTCGAATGGCAACAGGAGCCGTAGGCGTAGTGGTAGTCGTCGTGGCTGCATCGGTAGCAGTGGCCGTCGGCGACTGGAGACGGCCGTCGGCAACAGGAGCGCCATGGTCGTGCGCTAAATTTTGCTGTTGTTGTTGTTGTTCGAAAACGTCGAACGGGTGCTGCTGCTGATGGGCTAGCGGCAGTAGCGGTAGCAGGTGTGCAGCCGCTGGTGGACTAGCGGTTGGTGCGGTAGCAGCTGGAGGACCGTGGTGACGGCCGTCGTTGGCAACAGGAGCGCCATGGTCGGCGCTGTTGTTGTTGGTGTTGTGCGCGAAGCCCCAAAAATCGTCGAACGGATTGATGGCGATGGGTGGTGGGCTGTGGCCTGCTATCGCGGTGGTTGCATCAGCCTCGTGGAGCAGTAGTAGATCTCCGGTGGCTGTGGAAGCGCTGTCCGGAGTCGGGATCTTCATTGTCGAAAGATTCGGCGATCCAGCGTGGAGCTGCTGCTAATCGATCGATCTCCGGTTGTAGCCAACCGGAGGAAGCGCCGCTTGTTGCTGCTGTTGTAGCCGTTGCTCCTGTCGATGCTAGTGGTGTTAAAAGAGAGGAAGGATTGGTAATAGTAGTCGTATTTGGGCTCAATGACCTAATAAGCGAAGAGCGCCATTGTGTTGGTTTAAAAGAGTGGGTCTATATTGAATGGCGGTGAGCCACCTTTAAGCGCTTGTGGGTGGCAGTGCGCTTGCATCCGGAGGTGCAACTGCCTTTCAGGGCCCAGGCCATGCAGACGTCCTGACCACCGTGCTTGGGAATGGTGTACTGATGGTCCTTGGTCATTTCCGTGATGGAGCGGAATCCCGAGTCCTGGAAACGTTTCAAGAGGTCTTTATCGCCGTGGACGTTGGTGACTGGGTGTGCTCCCGCTCGCTGTTGGTTCGCTCCGGCAGGCTTCTTGCTCGGCGGCTCGGGAGCGGGCTTGAAGAACGAGTACCAGTGAGCAGGGAGCTCAGCGAGGGACGAGGCACAGGAGGACTGAACGAGTCTAGTCAGCGTACCAAAGTTGGGGGCAGCAGTGCCCGGATTTAGGATAGCTTCGTTGACCCACAGGAAGTAATCTTGTTGGATCTCGAAAAGGATGCGACCGCACAAGTCCACCGCCACACTCCGGTTGTCAGCATGCAGGCCATGGATGGTGTGGAGGTAGGATCCCAGCGAGAGAGCCACATCACGCACCGAGTGTGAGACGGGATGGTTTCCTCCATGGAAGACGTCTATCATGATGGAGAAGCCATAGAGCTTTTCCTCCGCAATACGACCATCGGTGGGAAACTTTACATCAGTGGAAGTGATGGCAATGGCATCTTCCAAGGTGACCGAGGCTCCCTTCTCAACGTACTCCGCTCGAGCAGCCAGGTCCTGGACCGCCTTCGCTTCCGAATGGCCTTGGCATACCACCCAGAAGGGGGAGAGGCCTTCGCCCAGGTGGTCCCTTGACCGTTCACGAAGTACTTGCGGAAGACACGGTCCAGAATGTGTCCAGTGATCAAGGGTTTGTTCGCGAGGTTAATGGGTAGTGCCGAGGCCTGAGTGCGTTCGTCGAGTTGGGCTTGCAAGATTCCGTGTTCATTCCCTTTGGGGGACTTCGCGAGCAGACGGTGAATGACGGGGAGGTTTGCGTCATCGGCAACGTTGCAGAGGTTGTGGACGTGAGTGGCTAGGGCGACCCCGAATTTATCCGTGAAGGTTTTGTTGCTCTTCTCGTGGTCATACTGGAGTTGTTGTTCGACGGTGGCTTCCAGCGTATCACGTAGGTTCGTGATCCCCGCGTTGAAGGTTGCGTTAGTCAGGCCCGGACCTACTGCGCCAAGCGCCGCCATGTAGGGGGAGAGTACCCGGTTCGTGCTTCGTTGGAGCGCGTTAGCGCTGATGGGCGCGGCCACGTTTGCAGCAGCATTACTAGTGGATGTGTGACCTCCCGCGACCAATGTGCAACAGGCGCGGAACCAGTGGACCAAAGGGGCGATGGCAGCCTGTCGTGCAGGATCCGCGTGAGTCAACTCAGGGGTCAGGACTTCCGCACGGAACTGGGGAAGACTGTACTGTCCTTCGAGACGGGCTGTTGATCTGCCCCTAAGGACCCTTAAGTCTTTAGGTCCCAGGTCAGATCCCAATCCCTATCAAGATGTTAGCAAGCCCAAGGCCACCCTGCTTCCGGAAGCAGGGCCCACAAACCGTTAGAAGCTGTTGAGAGTTGGCACTCCCCAGCTGGGCCTGTGTGCTCAGTTGGGGACCAAATAGCTAGAACTTTGCTCATAATTGTTAATAACTAATCTTTACCAACAATTCTTCACTAGGCTCTACCTGCCTGGATCAACAGTTATTAACAATCTAACTGAACCGACGAACTCGACACACCAAGTGAAGAGCAACAGCACAAGCCATCGCTATCGCTGCCGTCAACCACAACAATGACATCTGTTGCCGCCACCGACAAATTCCCCTATGGGACGCTCACCCCAGTCTCTGCTGAAGAAAAGCCAGACTACAACAGCCTGAAGACCATCCATCAAGAGCTCAATGCCAATGCAATGACAATCCCATCTACGCATGGAGGAGGCCACTATGGCCACCTCGCATTGGTCGTACAGGCCGACAGATACAACGCACTCCCCAATGCCATCGCATGGATCAATCCCATCCATCCAGGACCAAACCCCGTCCATGGTGTAGCACCTACTGCTGCCCAGATCTCCGAAAACAACAGAGTCTATGCAGCCGATGAAACAAAGTTTCTCACCTTCAGAGCAACTGAAGCCGCCCTACAGAAACAACTTCTGGAAGCCATTCCAGACACCTTCACCAAATCACTCAAACACGATATGTACGGATATGCCCAGGTTACCACCCTACAGATCCTCAATCACTTGGATGAAAACTATGGCACAGTAGACACCGATGACCTAGATGATAATCTAGCTCGAATGAATGCTGACTGGAGCCCCATCCAACCAATCGAAGACCTCTTCAATCAAGTGAAAGATGCCCAGAAATTCGCTGCAGACCACGACGTTATCTCTGACAAACGAGCCATCAGTGCCATCGTCAACAACCTCAAGAAAAGTGGAGTGTTTACCGACGCCATCAAAGAATGGCGCAAGATTCTACCGGCGGACCAAACAATGGACGCCCTCCAGAAGCATTTCGCTACTGCGGACAAGGATAGACGCCGAATCCTAACACCGAGAAAGAAGTCGGATATGCGAATAAGGCGACAGAACACAAGGAAAAATTTGGATCGACGAAGCCCAGCATTCCCATGTATTATTGCTGGTCGCACGGACTTGGCCCAAACAGCAACCACACCAGCACTAGCTGCTCGAAGCCGTCTCAAGGCCACAGCAAGGAAGCCACAGCCGATAATATGTTAGGTGGATGCTGCATCATTCGACGCAAGTTCGGCGAAAAGCCAATCTACAAGCGCCCTCAGCGTCAGAATCGCGACAACGACGAAAACCAAGCACCAACCAACCCCTGATCAAGACGGGAGCCAGCAATGAATGTATCCGAACACGTACCCAAAGCTCGTGTAGCAGTTAAGAAACATAGTAAAAAGACGGATAAGTTAAAAGAAAAAGAAAAACCATTGCACGGTCCCCCAGCATCATTAGACACAGCAAAGCCAACTCATATGGCACCAATAGTGGCAGACACCGGAAGCACAGGACACTTTTTGTCCACCGACTTCATCGCCATAAGCAACGAATGTATTATCAATGTACAGCCCCATCACACACCAATAAAAGTCACATTACCCGACAGCACAGTCATCACCTCGACACACACATGTCATCTTGACTTGCCCAATCTACCCCAAGAGGCAACCAAAGCCTACCTATTCCCAGCACTCGGATCAACATCACTCTTGTCGATTGGCAAGCTCTGTGATGCAGGATGCGAGGCAATCTTCCGAGCACACGAATGCATTATTTCCTTCATGGGAGATGTCCTTCTGAAAGGAACCAGAAACATCGACACAAACTTGCTATGGGAACTAGATCTCCCATCGCCACCAACAACAGAACAACGCGCCAATTACATGGCCACTACACCTACAGCAACACCAGCAGATTTAGTCGCATTTGCCCACGCAGCCCTCTTCTCTCCAGTCATATCGACACTCAAAGAAGCACTCAAAAAAGGATATGTGCACAACATGCCCGGACTTACGTTGGAATCACTCAACAAACACACGCCCCATTCAATCGCAACCGCGAAAGGACACATGAGCCAGCAACGGCAAGGCATAAAGTCCACGAAAACAGAACCAGAGCCACTCCCGCTCTTACCGGAACAGAACCTCGATTCAGACGCATTCCCACAACAAGAAGAACAACTTGACGAAACCATGGCACATGCGTGTTTCGCAACAGTCATCCAACCAACCGGAAAAACCTTCTCTGATCAAACAGGCCGATTCTTCATACCGTCCAGCACTGGAAACAACCACCTCTTCATCTTGTACCGCTACGACAGCAACTCAATACATGCAGAACCAATGATCAACCGAACAGCCAAATCCCACGTAAAGGCTTGGACCGCCATCCACAACAAGCTTGTGCATGCCGGACTACGACCCAAACTTCACATGTTAGACAACGAATGCTCCAACCTACTAAAAGAACATATCTACAAGGAAGGAATCAAGCTCCAAGTGACGCCCGCAGGCATACACAGGCGAAATGCGGCCGAAAGAGCAATTCGCACGTACAAGAACCACCTGATTGCAGGCCTCTGCACGACCGACAGTAATTTCCCTCTACATCTGTGGGACAAACTAATACCACAATGCACGATCACACTCAACCTCCTCCGAGGCTCAAGAATGAATCCAGCACTATCAGCACACGCACAAGTATTCGGACGCTTCGATTTCATGGCAACACCTATAGCACCGCCTGGGATGCACGTTGTAGTACACGAAAAACCACACGAAAGAGCCACGTGGTCACCCAAAGGCAAGGACGGTTGGTACATTGGACCAGAGATGGAATCATACCGCTGTTTCCGAACTTGGATATGGGACACACAACGCGAACGAAAGGCCGATACCCTAGCATGGTTCCCGGAGAAGCTACTCATGCCGTTACCGACACCACTGGACATGGCCATAGGAGGAATCAGAGACATAGCAACAGCTCTCACCCAACCACACACACTTCCAGCCTCCCAAACGCTCACAGAAAGCGAAGCAGCCACCCTACTCGACCTAGCACGAATCTTCGATCGACGACTGCATAACGAACCAATCCAACCAAAAGCATCGGACGCGACTCAGATCGAACCAACACAAGAAGACGCTGCCCGAATTCTGAGGGTGCCAAGCGACGCAACCACGTACTCCAGAACAACATCCAACCCTCCGAAACGTAAAACGAACCGGCAACCAGAAGCCGATGCAACACCACAGCCGTGAACAAGCAACGAACAAGTCGCAAACAAAGCTGTTAACCCCGACACTGGAGTCCTCTCGGACTACAGAGTACTCAAACAATCTACAGATGGCCATCATTGGATCAATGCATGTTGCAATGAAATCGGAAGGCTAGCACAAGGACGAGCAGCAACAGACCTCAAAGGAACCGACAGGATCTGCTTCATCAAGCACACAGACGTTCCTGCAGGACGCAAAGCAACATACTTAAGAGTTGTATGTGACGATCGCCCCCAAAAGAAAGAAGTCAGGAGAGTGCGATTCACAGTGGGTGGCGACAAGATAGAGTATCCGTTTGAGGTTAGCACCAAAACGGCATCCTTAACCACAGTTAAAATGAACCTCAATAGTGTCATTTCCACCCCAGACGCAAAGTTTATGACAATTGACATCAAGGACTTCTACCTGTGTACACCAATGGAGAGACCTGAGTACATGCGCATACCGGTCGACACTATCCCAGATGAAATCATGGACCAATACCAACTGCATGATCTAGTGCATAATGGATACGTCATGGTGGAAATCAACAGAGGCATGTATGGACTACCACAGGCAGGACGAATCGCAAATGATGCACTCGTTGAATACCTCGCACAACACGATTACACCCAATCGAAACACGTACACGGACTCTTTCGACACAAAACCAGACCAACGACGTTCACCCTTGTTGTGGACGATTTTGGAGTCAAGTACGTCGGAAAAGAGAACGCACAGCATCTCATTGACACGCTGGCACAAGCGTACAAAATCACAACTGACTGGGATGGAGAACTCTATTGTGGCATTGCCCTAGAGTGGGATTACACCGGCAGAACTGTGGATCTATCCATGCCCGGATATGTCAAGAGAGCCCTCCAACGATTCAACCATTCAGCCCCTGACAAACCAGAGCATGCACCACACAAGTGGAATGCACCACAATACGGCACACCAATCCAATACACAACACCAGATGACACATCCCCACCATTGTCGCCAAAAGGCATCAAACACATTCAAGAAGTGGTGGGAGTGCTGTTGTATTATGCCCGAGCGGTGGATTGCACGATGCTCATGGCCCTCGGTGATATAGCCGCAGAGCAAACGAACGGAACCGAGAAGACGTTGCAAGCCACGGTCAAGTTACTAAACTACGCGGCAACACATCCCAACGCCGTACTCAGATTTAAGAAAAGCGACATGATCCTACACCTCCATTCGGATGCTTCCTACCTATCAGCACCGAAAGCCAGATCACGAGCAGGCGGATACCTCTTCCTCAGTAATGGCCAACTCAACAACGCACCAGATAATGGAGCCATCCATGTGGTGGCCAAAATCATGAAGAATGTATTGAGCTCAGCCGCTGAAGCCGAAGTCGGCGCTGCATTCAACAATGCCCAGGAAGCCTGCCCCATGCAACAGACCCTCATCGAAATGGGCCACCCACAACCAGCCACACCTATCCAGACCGACAACAAGTGTGCCGAAGGAATCTTGGCTGGCACGGTGAAACAGAAGCGATCAAAAGCGATCGACATGAGATTTTACTGGCTCAAAGACAGAATTCAACAAGGACAATTCACAATCTACTGGAGACCAGGAATAACAAACAAAGGAGACTACTTTACCAAGCATCATCCAGCCTCTCATCATCGATCAGAGAGGCCAAAATACCTACACGACAATTTGCAAGCAACCAATTTGCCCTAACGAAAGATCTTTTGTCAGAAGGCACAAGCGAACCCGTGATAGGGTGAGGGTGTGTTGATCTGCCCCTAAGGACCCTTAAGTCTTTAGGTCCCAGGTCAGATCCCAATCCTATCAAGATGTTAGCAAGCCCAAGGCCACCCTGCTTCCGGAAGCAGGGCCCACAAACCGTTAGAAGCTGTTGAGAGTTGGCACTCCCCAGCTGGGCCTGTGTGCTCCAGTTTGGGGACAAATAGCTAGAACTTTGCTCATAATTGTTAATAACTAATCTTTACCAACAATTCTTCACTAGGCTCTACCTGCCTGGATCAACACGGGCCACAAGGACGGCTTCAGAGAGATAGGACGGAAGAGGCATCACACGACGGACCCGGAAGGTATCAGTATCCGGGACACCGCCGCCGTGGGGGCCACTGTGTAGAACAGGAGCCGGCACGGCAGTGAACATCGTTCCTCCGTCAATAACTGTCATGTTGTGGCAGGTTACGTCAGCCGTGCGCTCGAACGCCGACATAGGAAGGACCACCGTGATAGCGCTTCGAAGGTCGTTCCCCACCACGATAGCGTAGAGATTGTCGTAGGGAGAGACCTGGCTAGGATTCACGGGGTACGCGTAGAGTGAATGTCCAATGTAGATATTCGTTTTGTCATTCTGGAGAACGAAGCCGAAGGTGACAGGTGAACGTAGGCAAAATTGGCTCATGGCGCGAGAGGCAACATCACGATTCGCATTAGAGGCGCCGCCCACTGAAGTGAGGATATCAGTGTAGTTAGGAGCATGTACCTCCCATGCCGCTGCACGAGAGACGAGATCCGAGAAATTAGAGCTGGCCATGGTGAGGGTCGAAAAGATACGAAACCTGATGCCGGCGCAAGAGATTAATCTAATCTAGGTTCTTGCCTTCAGCGTCGGCTGAATGAAGAATTGTGAGCTGAGAGAGAGACAACCTTCTTGCGATCGGCAGTTCAATGGCTGGTCTTGGCTAGGTCGCTGGCTTTAGTGATTCATGGTTGCCGCTGTCGATCTTGCCAAATGTGGTCTTGGACGGGCGTCGTTGCCTTAAGGGTAATCTTGTTCGAGAGGCATTGAGGAGCTGATGCGGTGCATCATCATGTGGGGTATCCATTTCCGGAACGCAGGTGATGACCTGCGAGATGTAGAGATGTACTTGAGTTGTAGGTGAGGAGCGCGGGAATTAATTTTGCAAATTGTGAGATGGTCCTCTCGGCAACCATGATTAGGGTCATAGTTGCGAGAACCCATCAGGGTTCAAGTTTCCACGCTGCGGGGCGTGGAAACTCGGACGGGGGGTTCCCCAGGCGTGTTGCTGCTCAACACGGAAGAGTACTACAGTGATTACTGAGATTCTCAGATGCCTAGGGCATCAACTCGAGCGGGAAGCTACAATGTAGCCTTGGATAATGATAAAGACCTTGATAAGGTGCCAATGGCGTTGTGTGATCCTCGTTTGATTCACGGGACCAAAAGTACTCGACCGCTTTTAGCGTTGTTGGATTCTGGTTCCTCCTGAACTTGGATCAAGCAATCAGTTTTGCCAAAGGGATGTGTACCCAAGAAAGTGGATCCAGCTAACAGTGCAACTCTTGCTGGAACTTTCTCTTCGAGCCGAGCTTTCATGTTGAACTTCACTGTGTTTCCCGAGTTCTTCAAGAGTCGTTACTTAAACGACATTCAAGCTCGAGTCTTTCCCAGCCACTCAATGTCGATGCGACATGATAATTGGACGTGATGTTCTCTCGGACTTGGGTCTCAAGCTTGATTTTGACAAGAATACAATGATATGGGATGACTGTATCTTTGCTATGCGGACTCATCCGACACCTGACCGGATCAGTTCATCTTTGATCTCAACGAATCAGATATAGATGACGACACGGTAGCATCAACCGTATGCTCCGATGATGATCAATTCCTGGATGACGATTTAGGCCATTTCATGCCCAACTCTGACAAAGGAAATGATTGCTGTTGATTCCTTTACCGATGACGTTACCGATGACGATCATCAAGGATACAAAACAAAGTTTATCAAGCAAAGTCTTTATGAGAAAACTGACATTGACTCTGTTACCAGAGACTGCTTTCATCTGTCGCAAGGGGGGTGCCTCAAACCAACTCCTTTTGACTGATTATTCCCCAACCATCCAAAATCAAACTTTCGTGTGATGGCTAAAAGAATCAAAATGCCACGAGCCATTGAGGGATATCGATGAGCAGTCAGCACACGATCCATAACAGTTGGTTGAGAGCGGTTGCAAGCGGCGATTGGTCGAAATTGGCGATACGACGGTAATAAGGCGGTAGAAGGCGGTAATAAGGCGGTAATAAGGCGGAAAAATGAGCGGTTGAAGGCGGTCGAATACGGTCAAAGGCGGTCGAAGGTGGTTGAAGGTGGTTGAAACTGGCGAAGGTGGTTGAAACTGGCTAAGATGGTTGAAATTGGTTTTAAATGGTCCAATATGACTCAATTGTGTCCATTCATTTTTATATCAGGAAGGTGGGTGAAGGTAGTGGAAGGTGTACTCAGTTGATTTGAGGCACCCCCAAGAGCAACAAAACAACCTCAATCAAGTTCTTTCCAAGTATTCGAAATTGTTTAGTGGCGGTTTGGGAAAATATCCTCACGAACAAGTTCATCTTGAACTCAACGAGGATGCCCAACCACATCAATCTCGTGCTTATGCAATCCGTCACCATCACAAACAAGTCTTCAAGGCCGAACTCGATCGATTGGTCAACTCAGTGTCCTCGAATCCTGTGGTGGTTCCGAATGGATTGCAGGTACTTTCATTGTTCCCAAAAAGGATGGACGAGTTCGCTGGATCACCGACTTTCGTGGACTCAATAAAGCCCTGAAGCGCAAGGTTTTTCTCTTGCCCAAGATCGGTGACATTCTCTCTCGACGAACAGGCTATGTCTTCCTGTCCAAACTCGATATTTCCATGCAATACTACACTTTCGAACTCAACGATCCCAGTAAAGAAATTTGTACCTTCACTACTCCCTATGGTCTCTATCCTTACTGTTGGCTGCCTATGGGTGTTTCTCAATCTCCCGACATTGCTCAAGAAGTCATGGAGCGTTGCCTCAAGCCAGTTCTCGATGACATCGAAATCTACATCGATGACATTGGAATCTTCTCTCAAGACTGGCGTTCTCATCTTCAAGCTCTTGACAGAGTTCTCCACAGTCTTGAATCCAATGGATTCACTGTCAACCCTCTAAAATGTGAATGGGGAGTTCAAGAGACTGATTTCCTCAGTCATTGGCTCACTCCTCGTGGTGTCAAGCCAGTGTCCAAGAAAGTGCGTGCCATTCTGAACATGCAAGCACCACGCAATCTCAAGGAATTGCATTCCTTCATCGGCATGGTTTCTTATTATCGCGACATGTGGCCGCGACATTCTCATACCTTGGCTCCCTTAACTGAACTAACCGGTACCAAGAATTTCCAATGGGGCCCTCATCAACAAACAGCCTTCCAAGCAATGAAATCTCTTGTTGCCACGGATGCCATCCTCGCCTATCCAGATCATAATCAACCCTTTGATATTGAAACCGATGCCTCCGATTGCCAATTGGGTGCCGTCATCAAGCAGAATGGACGCCCAGTAGCCTATTACTCTCGCAAGCTCAACAACGCCCAACCCAACTACACTACTATTCAAAAAGCACTTCTCTCCATTGTTGAAACCCTCAAAGAGTTTCGAACCATGCTCCTTAGCGCCCGTCTCTGTGTCTACACCGACCACCGCAACCTCACCTACCGCATGACTGCCTTCACTACACAAAAAGTTCTCAGTTGGCGTCTCCTTCTTGAAGAGTATGGTGCCGAATACTACTACAAGGAAGGCTCCAAAAACATTCTTGCAGACGCGCTCAGCCACGTTCCGACTTCTCGCGTGGAAAGGGAGAGCCCTAAGTCAGCCGATACCTTTTTGATTGATATTGACGCGCACCATTGTCGCGATTTGCTGTCTCATGATCCTGCGTTGGCTGATGCTCTTTCGGATTTCCCCCTCCAAGATGTATTCATGGAAAGTCCCGAGTTCGATGAACAAGGACGATACCCCTTTCAATTCAAAACTCTGTACGAGTATCAACAGGACTCGCCTGCCTTGTTGCAAAAGCTCACAGAGCAGCCTGAACGGTATCATTCAATGCAGTTCGGAGAACACCCGTTAGTCTGCTTTCGCCAGAATGGCGATGACAAGATTGTCTTGACTGCAGAGCTTCTGTCGAAGGTGGTTTCCTTCTATCACAAATCAATGGCGCATGTCGAATGCATGACGTGTCTTGAACAGACGATACGCCGACATTATCATCATTCTCATTTACATGACGAAGTTGTGAAACAAGTACGAGCATGCGATGCATGTCAACGAATGAAACGAGGAGGCCGTGTTTATGGTGAAGCTGCTCCTCGTGATGCTTTGGTATACCTTGGCAAGAAGTACATTGTGATACTATTGGTCCGTGGACCATCGAGCTTCGTGCTCGCAAACTTACATTCAATGCCATGACCATGATTGATCCGGCAACCAATCTCATTGAGATTTCTCCTATCCTCAGCAAGACTGCAGCCGAAGGCGCAGCTTCTGTCGAAAACAACTGGCTCGCAAGATACCCTCGGCCTATTCGGGTCGTTTCTGATCAAGGCCCCGAATTCACAACCGAGTTCGTGGACATGCTCACGAGACACGGAATCGGTCATTCCTACTCCTCATCGCGCAATCCGCAAGGCAACTCTATCATAGAACGCATTCATCTCTCAATAGGTCAAGTCTTGCGCACAACCCTCGAAACGCGCAATTCCAAGTCTGTCCATGACGCTACTGCTGTCATCAACGAAGTGCTCGCTACGGCCATGCATGCTTGTCGATGTGCTTCCAATGGTACCCTTTCAAATCTATCTTCCGGTGCCTTGGCCTTCGGCCGTGACATGTATTTGGACATTCCACTCATTGCCGACATTCTTACAATTCAAAAACATCGTCAAGGACTCATTGACAAGCGTCTGCTCAAAGCAAATGCTCGTCGTCTTCAACATGATTATGCCGTGGGTGACTCTGTCTACAAACGAAATGTTCTCAGTCTTTCCGACAAACTCAGACCTACATTCAGTGGCCCTTACACAATTACTCGTGTCTACACCAATAGTACTGTTGAATTGCAGCTCTCACCTCACTTGTACGAATGCATCAAAATCCGTCGCATCAAACCTCGGTTCGCTCTGGAAAAGGGAGAGTGAAGTATTACCCTTCATGTGTATCCAGTCATGTTGCCTTATAAGCCTTGTGCCAGTAAACTAGTCATAATTTCTATCTTCAATCTTCGTGTTTCACTGCCAGCTTGTCTGCTCTGCAATTGAGTTGGTCCTTTGTCGACAAGGTCTCTATAGCCCTATCTTTGTCCTGGTGGCTCTTGATGTGCTCCATTGTTGGCATCTGATAGCTTCCCTGAAGGTTTGTTCGATTTGTTGCAACACATCCCAGTCTGATTTCAGAGTGTCGTTTGGGTACCACTAGGTGGCGGAATAGACACAGGTGGTGTGCTTATGTCATGTTGATGACTAGCTAGAAGGACTACCCGGGTGGCTACAAATCAGCTTCACTTTTTCTGAACCAGAGTTGCAGCCGCCCCACACCAATTTTCACTTTTCCATTCCCTCCAGCCCGGGTAAATTGGATGGAAGTAAGTCTGTCCTACCGGTAGTCTGGAGGGGAGGTTTACAACCTTTATAGACCCATATTGACATGATCTTGATATAGTCTTGCAGCTCTACTGGAATAGAAATAGAAAATGAAATTTCTAAAGTTTGAAGCAGAAACACAAACTGAAACACAAATATGAAACTGAGTGCCAAAGATAAAGCCGAAACACAACACAAAGATAGAGTGGAAACACAAACATAGAATCAACATATATAGGTGAAACACACATATATGAATCAGAATACGCACAAATCGCGATATCGGTTCTTTCATTGCTTCTGTTCAAAAGAGTTGTCATAAGAAAGGATGGAAGTGAGGACAAATGAAAAAAGTGAAAGAAAGTCTAGGTTTTTTAAAAAACTTTTTTTTGTCCTAATGGAGGCATTAATGGTGCTACAAGTGGAACTCATTTATCAAAATCTCATTCATCAAAAACTCATTTGTCTTTATCATGCCTGTTGATCAAGGTCGTCGCATGAATACCCTGAGAGGCAAAATGTCGAAGTGGACCCTCCTTATGCTGCTTGGTCTGACATTAACATGCTTTTCTATACTACTACTAAATGTGCTTGTTTTCTTGAGGCAAGGAGGATATGCGAATGAAGAGTACAGCAGCAGCCACACCAATGAAGATTTTTCAGAAGCTGCTACCAGCTTGTCAGCATTTGGTGTTATTATGGAAAAAATGGACAAAAATGCGGCATTGCAACAGTACGACCAGAAGAGCTTGACTTGTGAACTTCGTGCATACGATCCCACTTGGTATTACAACATGAACACAACCAACCCTCCTTCCTTTTTGAGAGACACAAAATATTTATTTGGAAAATGGCCCATCATGTTGTCGCACTCTGCCGAATATGAACACGCTAAAATTTGTATTGATAGAATTGATTGGCCACCAGAGGCAGATCAACCTAAAGATAATCAGCACTCCGATGGAACCAACCCAAGTGTCTTGTCCATTGCAAGGCTCAAAGAGGGAGCACCCCTTGTAGCGGCAAATATCTTACACCATCATCCAAATACAACCTTCCTTGCTGCTGTCACTAACAAGATGTTTCCGCAGTGTGTCTATAACAGGACTCCTCGGCTCTCTGGTTATGACAACCAACATACACTCCTCCTTTTGCTTGATGAGCAAATGAAAACAGTAGCTCAGACCACCCTCCACGTACTGGTTGATCGTGCATGGGGTCTGAACGAGCCCAGCACGGGATCCAATCCACCACTGGAACAGATCATTACCATTCTTGATGCCCCCAGACTCTTTGTCTATCAAAGACAGGTGCAAGTCAGCTTCATTAGTCGTGATTGGGGATGGACTGATCAGTACTACACTTCTGTTCATATTGACTTTGTTCACCCTCATCATTTTCATCAAAATGGAGACAGCCGACAGAGCAAGTTTTGGGCCACTCTTTGGGCTTCAGAGGTTGTCACATTGGGAAAGGGGCAAAACCAGGCCATATTGTATGATCCAGATGTTTCCTACAGTTCAGAACAAGCCAAGAGAGAGCCCTCACCTAGCATGTTTTCCGTATCCCAGGTAGACCCAGTCACGGTCTCCTCTATTGGTGACACCCGTCCCCTTGAACATAAAAAACAAAGGCGAAGAGGTCTCAGGGAAAACAACAAGGAGGGGAAAGGTTTAACAGCATTCAGCACAGTGCATACCTGGGAAACCACAAAAGCACATGGAACTAATGGCATGATGATCCGTTTGCCTTCAACCCAGAAGGGACAACCCGCAGACTACCTGGGCGTGGCACATTTTCATCGTCCGGAAAACACCGGTGCCAACACCTATGCTCAATTTGGTCATCACTATACGCATTTCTTCTACACCATACGACGTAAATCCATGAGCAGTACTGACTTTCAATTGACAGCAATGTCAGCTGAGTTTGTTTTGCCGTCGATTGACAGCAGTGGCAAGGATCCAAAGGAAGAAGGATGGGCAATGGATGCCCATATCATTCAATTCATTTCAGGGATCGAATTCCTTGCAGACACCAACGAATTGGTCATCGCCTATGGAATCAATAACTGTGAAGCTGCTGTCACTGCCATGCCTTTGCAACATGTGCGAGACATGTTGGTTCCAGTGGCGACTGGCCAGGAAATTGGAGACTTTATGCAGCCACTTTTGTACTTCCCAAATGGGCCAAACATCAACTATTCAGTGAATCACAATCCAAAAGGGGTACCACAAGATCACCTGGAGGGTGACAATGCCATTCTGCCTTCAGAGCCTACGGAGGAGAGGATTATGGGTGACTTTACAGAACACTTACGTCGGGGTGGACTAGTGGCTTCCAATCATGTTTGGAATGATATCCTTACAAACTGTACCAAGGTTGTTCGCTATGAAGGGACCAATGGGACCACACAATTGGCTCAGCAGATCTTTGATGGGGAAGTGTGTCAAAAAATGGTGGGAAGCACACATGTGGAACAAGCTGTACAAGAAACAACCTTTTCTGATCCATCATGCAATATCTTTGTTAACATTACATTTGATTGCATGGATCTGTTTGAAAACAGTGAATTTGGAACTGGCAATTTTGTTTTCTTGTTCTACGCACTCCGCTTAGCCGCGCGGACCATGGGTAATGCTGATGTCTTGATTCAATGCAACGATGCCCTCGATGTGGCCAAGGATTTGATTCTACCATGGGTACGTCTGCAGACTTGTATGCATGTTTTGATTAAGCGTTTGGCACTCTTCGCTCCCTCACTGGCTGTTTGTTGTTTGTGTGACAACAGGTGATGGGATTTTTTCCTCGTACCCTACATGCATTACCTCTGAGTTTGCGCAGACCACCCAGGCTTGAGAAAACATGTGGGCATTACACGAAGCTCCCTGTTGGTCACATGGCTGCTGAAATGCGATACCATTTCCGCAAAATGGCCATTGCCTTGGTTGGTATCCCTTACCCTGGTCACCCGGCCGAAGCTTGGGCAAAGAAGTACCTGTGGGGAAATAATCATATCTATATGGGACAAAACAGTGTCATGCAAATGGCCAACCCACAGCAAGAAGACAATCCACTTCATTCAAATGTGGAGTTAGATGATGCTGTCTTGCACTTTCGCTGTGGTGACTACATGACAACAGACAGCCAATCTGTAGGCTTCATGAAGTTTGAAAGCTTTTCACGACACTTGGATGCCAATGTTAAGTCAATTGGTATTGCAACTAACCCATTCGGGTCAACCTCACAGTCAAGAAACCTTGATAATGACTCTGTGGCAGTCACCCGGTGCAAGAAGGTTGTTTTTGGGTTTGTGGATCACCTAAAATCCAAATTCCCCAATGCTCAGATTACAATCCGTAACGGTGCCAATGATTCGATGGCTTTGACCTTGGCTAGAATGGTCATGGCCAAGCAGCTGGTTGTTGGGATAACAACATTTTCCCTGTTCCCAGCAGTTGCCAGCTTTGGGCACAGCTACATTAAAAAGCCAGACCATGAATTTGCGGCCAACACCTGGATGATGGGAGATGAAGAAACGCCTCCGGTGGAGGAAATTTTCCCAAATGTACACATAGTTGAGGAACCCAACATTTTGACTTCTGCGGTCAAAACATTATGGGGACAGGATGATGGAGACACTGTGTTGAAATGGTTCCAACAATATAACATGGACGTTCCCCTCGCAGAAAAATATTAGTGTTTTAATCGATGGATATTTGAATGTTTGCGACAGCCATGAAGTGGCTTTGAAAAGGTGCGGGCAATGATGAATTGTTGAATCAATTTAGTTTATATTCACAGTATGCCCTACATAGTCCACCTCCATCAAGTACCTCTTGGTTGCGGAGCAGAAGCAAAAAAATTGAAGCTTGACGAGAGTATCAACTGTTTCACGTTCCAAACAATCACACAAACTGGTCTCATAAATTTCCTCTATAATTTTAAATTAAACTAACAGCTGTGAAGTGGCTTTAAAAAATCGTGGGCAATGATGGATTGCCTGAGCACATTGGGTTCAGAGCTGCTTGGATTCCGTCACTAACAAATAACACGGAGGCACATCGGCCAGGCTCACTCCGGTTTTTATATAGCTAAATAAATATCATTAAGACATCAACTTCAACCGTCCATATTTTCCATGTTAGGGTTGAGGATAGTCGGCTAACACCAACACGGCAACAGCAACACCAACCATGGCCAAATCGATCCAAGCAAGCCAACAAGAGCACAATGGCGTCCATACAATCAGTCTCCAAGGCAACACAGAAATGAAGGACCTGGAGCAGCACCCACTCACAGCTACAAGCAGTAGCCAACATCATTAGGAACAGCACCATTGTCTGGTTTGGCCATATCTGCAAGCGACAGAGAAGAAGAGATGAGATGAGTGCATCAAAACAACAAGCGGCAACAATCCACGGTGGGGCCGACTCACTCTTCAGAGGGCCTGGGACAATCCTTTCTGGTATGTAGCCTCATCAGAATCCGAGTCATCATTGAGATGACGACCACCTCCAAACTGTTGCATGATAGAAGTGAAGCCGACACTAGTATCCTTAGAAGCCAGAAATTCATCCACAGACTTGTCCACAGACTTGTTAGTCTTGGCAGGGGTTTCTTTGGCGGGGGTTTCCATGAATGATCATCCATGGAAACATCAACATTCTTCCACTTGGAATCTACTTCAACGCTGGCGCCGTCATCTTTCTTGAGGCCCTTGATTTGGACGCTGTCGAGGAAGTTCAAGACCCTTTCCGTGGCCGCGGCCTTGGACGTGTCGACGACGTCCGCGGCCTTGGCCGCTGCTCCCTCTTTCGGCGCTCCCGCTCGACCGCCAGAAGAAAGCTGACAACAGTACGTTCCCATCGTCAAGCCCAGACTATCTTGCATGTCCTTGAGGTCCGGGAGGGTGGTGTGGGTTTCCTCCGTCTTGTCCTCTGTCTTGTGGGGAGTGGCAGCCCTCTTCTTGGCAGCCCTCTTCTTGGCAACATTCTTCTTGGCTGATGTCTTCTTCTTGGGAGGACTCTTCTCCGCCTTCGAATCGGCCTCCCGAGCTCGAGCAAACTCTCCTCCTCCATCGCCTTGTCCTCAGCTGCCTCTTTTTCACCCACTACTTCGATGAGCATGAGCACATTTTGAGTCCAGTCGAGTACTGGACCAATCACAGGGGTCGAAATAGCCTTGCCAAATTCTTGGACCATTTTGTTGAAGTGATCAAGAAGCGCTGGCGGCGCGGTGGGAAATTGCAAACGAGGGAAGAAGTCATGGTCCCAGATTTTGCGCATCTCTTCTTGCAGCTCTTCCTCGACGACTTGAATGATTTCACTGCGGGCAGCAGTGCGAGCTTATGCAGCATCTTGGTCCAACGTGAAGTTGCCTTGGACGATGAGGCGCATTACGCCTTCTTCATACTCCACTTCAGAGTCGAAACGTTTGTGGTCGGTGTCAAGAACTTCTCCATCTTCTCCCAAGTAGCGATACTCGGGGCAATACTCGTCCGGGAATTGCACAATCTGCACCTGGGTGTGACAGAAGAAAGAAATATAGTGGTAAGTTTGTATCTGGTGGAAGCGTGCTATCTGGACTTCCGCGATGGGCATGTTCTTACGTTTTTTGTTCCAGGGATGTTCTTTCCAACCCAAGCGCCAAAGGAATCTGCCATTGTGCAATCAAAAAGAGCAATCAAGTGAAAATTTATGCAGAGTTTCTGTTGTAAAGATTCGGTTTGGTGGAAAGTGAGCCAAAACTACGCTGGGATCGACCAGTTCTGTCAATACTCCGAACGCAACAGACGAGTTGGCCAAAGCGTCGATCCCGGGAGTGCCAAAGTTTGGCTTTAGTTCAGCACGCGACTCTATCTTGGAAGACGATTCCTTGAAAGGTAATGTACCGATCAACATTCGGAGATGGATTCAGTGCGTCTTCTCGGAACGTCAAGTATGCCCAGGAATGATGGGGGGTAATATACTCTTTAACTTAATAAGTTATGGCCACAGAGTGGCTTTATAGATGTGGGCACAAGCGGGATAATTCCCACTCAGCTGAGTCATCTTTCTACTTTTCTACCTAGTCAGCATGATTCCATCCACTGGCGCCAATGACGCCAGCACCAAGTAGAATAGATTGCCCCGAGCGGGGGGTGGTCATACTAATCAAGAACCTGCAGTGCAAACCTGGGTTACAGAGGCTATACACAGGATTTCCGCCACCAATACCAGTGGAACCCTAAAATGTGTAGCATCAGAGTGCTTGCCAATAAGTGTGTCTGTGTAACAAGGTCCCACACTGTGGCCAGTGCCTTGGCGTGCAAGGCACTGTGCCAGCAGAGCCCGTAAGAGGTGGTACTCTTTAGGCTCGACCAGGTCATGGTGTAACCCATCCAGTGGACAAAAAGTGTTAGGTAGAAACCAACAAGTAGCCAAAGGATGGGGTCAAGTGACACACTGGCAGTCTGTGGCTCCCAGGAGGGAGGCACGGTAGCTACTGTAGTGTTGTGGGCTGTTCGAGGGGTTGTTGAGTCAATGGAAGGAGGATAAGGGGGTACTGGAAGTGGGGCTGCGCCAGGGGCAGGAGGGGAGGTCCTGTTGGTTAGACCTCCGTAAGTCTATAAACTTCATGGCAACCCTAGAGTGGCAACCCAGGCATTGAACCCCTCAGCCAAAATTTCCAGGAGTGGTCGTTCAGCTGAGTGTTGGGGACGGATGAGACGATGTTGAGGAGAGTTACTTCCAAGAAGATGAACGGGTCATCTTCATGGTCATTTCAATTTCTACGTGGGGTCTGGTACTATTTCTACGTGGATGATCCAAGTTGGTTTGGTACCCAAGTTGGATCACTGCCTCCTTTTGGTGGCGGTTACGGAGGCTTCGGGCCTCTTCCAAAAAGTTTTTTGCTACAGAATTGGAGCTTGGCCATAGTTTTCTGTGAAGGGGGCCAACAACCAAGCTCCCAAAACTTCAGGTCGGATTCGAGGACCGGTTTGGAGCACCACTGCTTCCTACTTCCTGCTTCCTTTGGTGGTTCCTGTGCCACCACTCTTGCTTCCTATTTCCTGCTTCCTTTGGTGGTTCCTGTGGTGGTTTACTTTGTGGCGGACGTTCACGGCGGATGTAAGATGGAGTTTGGTTGTGGTCTTTATGTTCTTTCGACCAAGTTGGAGTTGAGCAGCTGCCGATGACTAGAACACAGACAAGAAAGCATGTTCTCGAAGCCTCCGAATCCAGTTGGAGAAGGTGCAAGGGGGCACCTGCACAGGGTGGGGATACCCTGTTCAATGACAGCTAGAGTATCCTTAGGCCCACGCAAAAGGATGGACCTACCCAGGTCGGGATGGCAGTAGAGCACATGTAGAAATGAAATTCGAAGCCAAAGGCACATTATGTGCAGTAGATAATCTAGACTATAACTGGCGGGTCCTAGGTGGCGGTGAGGCAATGGGTGGGCTCTGTCTCGACATTCCCATGTTATCCAACCTTACCAAAACCGGTGGCAAGTTACCAACCAACCAGGTCCTGTTGGTGTTGGAATGTTGTTGAAGGAGTTGGGAGGTAGCATGGTTGATGGTGTGTTGTAGGATAGAGGTATGTCTCTGTTCAAGGGTGAGAACAAAGGCATCATCTCTGATGGGGTATGGGGTGATTCGGAAGGGTGTGATCCTCAAGATGGCTGCATGCTCTAGGAGCTGTTGGCTGATCAACTGGGGATTGGTGTTGGTTAATCTACGGAGGAGAATGATGGATGAGTTTGGTTGGGTGAAGTGTGGGAGTGGGGGGATACCTGTAAGGACCTTGGGTTTGAGTGAAGGTGTGTGTAGGTATGGGGAAGTCATGGTGGGTGGTAGGTGGGTTGGTGGAAGAGGTGTGTATCCTTTGGGTTGACTGTAGGGTCGTTGCTTCAACTCAAGCAATGGAGGTTGCTTTTGAGGTGGTGAGAGTCTTGTTGTAGAGGGTTTATTCAAATGGCCAATGCACTGGGGCACTGGTAATCAAGGTGTATATGAAAGTTGTTGGGTGGTTGTTGCCACTGGATCAAAGGCTGTGTCCCAATCTAGTGCAGGTATACCACTACCTGCAGGAAGAGAGGGTTTCAAAGCCAAAGCTGATAGAGGATGCTCAACAGTACTCTGGAGAATTCACTCTTTTGCCAGTAGAGACAGTGGTGGGGGTATCAAAGGGTGTTGTTGGTTGATGGGGCTGTATTACTGGTGGAAACTGTGTTGTCTCAAAGGCTGGTACTCAATCAGGTGCAAGACAAATTTGCAGCGGAGAGTCAAACCAAGATGTGGAGAGGGTACTCGATTCAGGTGGATCAATGGAGGAAAGTCACTGAAGAGTCACTCAACAATCAATGAGAGACAGAAAGAGTCAGTTATGTATTAATTTCTATGCCACACCACACTGCAGTTCTGTCTGGGGCTCAATCCTTTGGAGCACACACACTCAGTAGGAAAGTCAGGTGCAGGAGCAGAGGGGTGGCTGTTTCAATGAAGGTGTTGCACAATCTAGCCTCTACGCTAGAGGGGAAACTTTTGTTGGGTGAGATCTTTTGGAGAGGAGCTGGATATCTCAGGGAGGGGCTGTCAAAACTACTAAAAATGCAGCAAAGCCTGGAGATACAAGAGCTGAAATCCTTACAGGAACTCTGTTGTGGTTTGTTGTTCCTCTTGGAGAGGAGTTAGATATCAATGGAGGAGTGGTAACAGTAGCAGGTATCGATCAGTCAATCAGTCTGTATAGGGATAGGACTGGTTGGATCAGTAGGATCAGTTCCAACAACGACGTCGGGAGAAGCTCAGAGTGGCCGGCGAGAAAGTAAGAAATACAGCTGTGTTTCTGTTCTCGACGGTCACTGCAGGTATCTCGTGAAGTCCTTTTTGATAGTAGTTCGATCGGTGCGGAGGAAGGTACGGAGAAGAGGTACGGTCGCGGGAAGATTAAACGATTCACGGAGTAGCGAGTCTTGGATCGATTCGATTCGGTAAATCAATTCGATTCGCGATTCGAATGAGTCAGTTGCCTTAGGGTAAGGTTAACGGTGTTGTTGTTGTTGTTGTTGTTGTTGTTGTTGTTGTTGTTGTTGTTGTTGCGGAGTCGTTCGATCGTACGAAAAAAGGATTGACAATGGGATTTCGACGGTCGTCGGCAGTGAGAGAACAGCAACTAACAAATGGGTATGTGGAGAAGGCCGGATTGATAGTTGCTTGATAGGAGAGGTGCGAAGGAGATAGGAGGTATCGATCCTGTCGACTGGAGGTGTTTGAATGAGGGAATGAATGAGGAAAAGGGAGTGTGTCTTTCGCGATGATGTTGAGTTGAATCCTATAGTAAAACAGTACTCTTCAACAAGATAACAGAAAACAAGCTTCCTGAGGTCCTTCGTTACAATGCTTCTGATGGTGCTAATAGGTAGTGTAATAGTATTGGGATGGTCGTTGTTGTTGCTATTAGTGTTGTTTGTTCTTGTATTGACAGATTCAGAGGGGAAACACTTCGGGATCGGCTTCCCGTACAAAAGTATGCTCAGGAATGATGAACGTACTCAGGCCTCAGCCCTCCCCATCAACCTTGCCAACAAGCCTCTCGCCACTGAACATATCTTGGACTGAGTCTTCCGCAAGTACTTCGTGAATGGGCAAGGGACTACCTTGGGTGAAGGCCTCTCTCCTTTCTCCGTTGTATGCCAAGGCCACGCAGAAGCAAAGAATGTCCTCGACCTCACCTCACGTGTGGAATATGTGGAAAAGGGGGCCTCTATCTCCCTGGAAGATGCCATTGCGATCACCTCCACCGAGGTCAAGATCCTCATGGATGCCCGTTGTGCCAAAGAGAAACTCTACGGCTTCTCCATCATGCTACATCCATGGAGGAAACCACGCTGTCTCTAGATCTGTACGGGATGTGGCTCTCTCCTTGGGACCCTATCTTCATTCTATCCATAGCCTTCACACCGACAACCGAAGTGTGGCAGTAGACTTGTGCGGTTGCCTCCTCTTTGAGATCCAACAAGATTACTTCCTTTGGGTCAACAAGGCCATCCTGGAACTGGCCACTGCAGTCCCCAACTTTGAAGGACTCACACGACTGGTCCAATCCTCACGCGCCTCGTCTCTGGCTGAACGCCCTGCGCACTGGTACTCTTTCTTCAAGCCCGCTCCGGAGCCGCCTAGCAAAAAGCCTGCTAGTGGAAACCAACAGCAAGCGGGAGCCCACACCATTACCAACGCTTTCCGCTCCATCACCGAGATGACCAAGGACCATCAGTACACCATTCCCAAGCATGGAGAACAGGATGTCTGCATGGCCTGGGCACTCAAAGGTAGCTGCACCTCCAGATGCAAGCGAGCTGCCACCCACTAGCGATACTCTACCGCCACGGTGCAGAAGCTCCACACTCTCCTCACAGACTGTGGAGTTGCTGAACTCCAGGCCTGAGTATCCACGCCGTGATTAGCCACCATTATTGGAGCCCCTGCCTCATATTGGTGGCATCCATGCCTTGTAAGCAATTTGGTCTCAAACCTTTCGACTGCGATGTTTCTCCTGTGAAACCTCCACGGACCAACAGGAGCACTCCTGCACTCCTGCTCGCAAACAATCATCACGCAACAACATCATATCATCACTCCATTCTCTTTCACGCGCAGCATCGCTGCCTCCATCATCACCCTCCAAGCGGTCAGTTGGCCTGCTCCCCGAATCACCTAGGAAACACCGATCCTTGTCCAACACTACAAAACAAAC